GTCCAGTATATACTGTTTTATTGTTTGCATGCTAATAAAATTATGTTGTATCTTCAGAGTGATTTGGTTGCTTTAGGTGAGCCAGGTTTTGGCCACAGCAACTGCCAAGAACAGCAGACATGCATCTAACTCCCTTTGTACACCTTGCCAACAGCATAAGTGCCACAGTGACGCAATTTAGGTAATCTATGTCTATGCCCCCCACCTTCTCAAGGATGCAGAGCATCATGATGCCAGTTTAGCTAGCTTTTGCTAGATATGCACAAGCCAATATATTTTGGTGTCACATTTTGTGTGGGTCCTCCTCCTGGTTTCTAGTCTTGTGCTAGCTACATTGCTTTTGGGAATAAATAGCGGCACCCTGTAGAGCACTTTAGATTTAGTGACCTTACAGCAGCCTGCTCTTTTCTCCTTGACATGATAGCAGATCAAGTTATTTGCTTCAAGATATAACAGTCCTGCTTATTGCATTTGAGGCCCCCTCCTGCTTGTTCTAGTCAGTGGACCTTGCCCTCAAAGCACTGGGATTGGCACTTAGGACTCTAAAGGGTCTGCTAAATGGATCTACTGAATAATTTACTCTTGAATTAAAAACAATGATAAAATTAGGCCTGCCTGCAGAACTCTGAATGATCACTAGGTGGTAACAAAGAGTTAAGATTTATTGTAGTTCTTTGCTGTCCAGATACAGTAGCCTTATTCAAAGATGAGCTTTCAACCAGCCTCACTTTATGAATACAGAATGGGTTTTCACCAGAGCAACAAAATGCAAGCCTCTGTAAGTTTTCTAGTGGCACACAAACTTTTGAAAAGCTCAGTTCAAATACTTCAAAAAATGTAATTACAGGTACATAATAACTGTACCCATAGTTAAGAACAGAGCCTATTGCAGCAAAATTCAAGTTAAATACACAATGGTTTGAATTCATTACACAATCCTAGTTATACAGTACAGTGGTACCTCGGGATACAAACGCCTCTGCTTGCGAATTTTTCGGGTTACGACCAGCTCCGGCCCCAAAAATTTACCTCGGTTTGCGAACTCCGCTTCGGGGTATGAAC